TTTAACTGGTTTGGAATTCAGGTTTTATTTGAGATCTGTTCACTAAACACACTACTTTTTATCCTATATCAGTAGGCTAATAAAGCCAGTGATTATAAGGGTATGTTATGTGGTCTTTTGGGAGCATATACCAGATCGATCTGTATATACTCCATGCCAGTCAAGACATCGCCACTATGGGGTATCTGGTGTGCAGCTGTTGTGCATCCATCTCCTGAGAGCACTTTGTACTTTTACATTTTTTTCCCTAATTCTCAGTATCAAATACTTCTGGTCATATGATCCACGTTTCCACTGGAGTGCACTTCTTATAAAGTCAAGACATTTAATGGAAACATTAATAAGACTGTTTACATGAATCCATGAGGAGTTCCTCTGTTAGCCCAGTTTGTCACATAGTTCTTTTAGCACTATCATTATTTTTCTTTGCATAGTTCATTATCCATCTTACAATTCATTCACATCTCCATCTTATCATTTCTCATGTGATACTGAAACAAGTACTTCAGCATCACATAGGTTTTTTAATCAAGTATTTGATCAAGTACTTTTCCTTTGCTCTGGGTAGTTGGTTATCTTATACAAGAGCCAGTGGGTTAGTAAGTCACATTTTGTATTTTTGTCTGCTTTTTATTTCAATTGTTTTCAACATAGATCTCGAATGATATGCGTTTAGTACAGAAGTTTGTATTTACACACATTTAATTTGAATTTCTGTTTTTTAACTAAGCATATAAGACACAAGGAATCACAAAATAATTTATTTGTACAACTTCTTTTGGATACTAAAAGAAATAAGCTTATCTGAGTATGGAAGGAATTAATTAATATGAAAAAAAAAAGAGGTATGATGTAAAAACAAGCAGACTGCAGGGAAGGACTGTGTCAACCAAAATTGCAGACATTTATTTATTTATTCATTTAGCAAAGTTTGGAGAGGGAAAAAAAAAAAAAGAAAAAATTCGGTGTTGCAAGAGGATTAGGGGAAGTGGCTGCTGAAACCAGAATATAAATGCTTTGCAAGGTCAGTCCCTAGAGCAGTTGGTGAGTAGAATAGGAGTGCAAATAACACAAAGTAATAAAAGAAAGTAGGCTACAATACTAAATGTGTTTGCTGAGTTTCTGAATCTCTAGGATGTCATTCCTGGGGTATACAGCTCTGTTCTTATGCTGGATTTATTGTGCCGCAGAAAGAGGTAAGCTTTAATGTGAAAAAAAACCCAAATCGTTCTTAAAGCGTATGTAAAGATGGTAACTAAAACAATATGTAAATAAAATGTTTGCATTGTAGCCTATTTTAATAAACTTCTGACAACAATAACTGAGATTTCTTCTGGCAGTATTTAGCACCTTTAGTATTTAGTATCCTTTCATAGGTATTATTTCACCTATTTATTTGGATAACTACTGCTGTTATTAATCTGTTGCACGACTTCTTTAATGGTTAGTATCCCTATAAATTAGAGCCAGACAACTCATTTGTTATTAATTATGTTAATTATTCTAACATCTAAAACCTGTAAACAGCTGGTAGATTAAAATAGAAAATATTCAATAAATATGCATTTCTTTCTGTCTGGAATAATCTGTGAGATAAACTGAGAAAGAGGAATGATTACTAAATTGACTGAAAAGCTTACAAAATATCTGTTGACTGACAGACTTTTTAATCCAGGTATGCTTTTGTACATGTTTAAAAAAGCAGCTTTCTGTCTGGGTTTCTTTACATAGACTGTTGTGGAAAGGTAGCTATGTGTTTTTGAGCTAGTGTGTCTTTGCTTGGTTCGGGTTGTTTTTAATTTTAGATGACCTTATTAATCAAAACAACCATCTGATGGATTTTACTTCGAAAAAAATGAAAAATCAGGACATTAATTAAATGTATTATCTTTTTTGTATCTGCTTATAATAAATACTGCTCCAAAGCAACTAATAAAGTGTAATCTGTTTGCAAAGAAGTCCAGAAAAGTCCTGGAATTTGAAAAGAAAGTTTGCCTGAATTTGCACTTCCTGTTCACAATGCTTTCTTTAGGTCAGTGAGATTGCAATGGAATGTGAATGTAGCAATGTTTGATTTATCCGGGACAACTATTGCCATGGGTCATGCAGGGTTCTTAGTTCAAGCTTCATATTGAAAGTCTATGTGAGTTATTCAAGAGCTGGGGTTTTGCACAAGGGCTGAAAAATACTTCTACCTGAATTCATAGTTTGTGCTTGACTTCATGGAAGTTGCCACTGGCATAATGATGGCAAGAAAGCAGCTTGAGCTATTTCTAACTGAGGTTAAATCACACATAGATACAAAATGATTAATTCCAGCTCTCCTGGTCTCTCACTAAAGGATTTGAAGGTATGCATTTTGTGCATGCTTTCTAATATAAAAATAAAACCCTCCCAATTTTGGTGACTACACATGGTGAGTGATGTAATTAATATAGTTTTGAAGTACATTGTGTCAGCAAATTTTTTCTTCTCAACCTACTAAGAAACTGCATTAAAAAAAATAATTAGCTGTAGTCATGTATGTATTATATACATACTATGACAGTTGATGGTAATGCGTAGTTTGACATCAGGGCAGGAATGGCCAATCAGAGAGAGTTGAAATAAAACCCAGAAAGAAGCATGTCTTAGTAATGATGAAGAGACAGACTATGAAGAGATTATCTTTTGTGCCTTTTTTTTTTTTTTTAATATATAAACAAGGAGGAGTTAAGCAGCCCCATTCTGCACAACAGGCAGTAAAAATATAATACAACTCAGAATTCAGGGAGGAATAGAGCAGAGAAGCTCTCCCTGTACTAAATAGCCTATTTTCAAAATCATAGAATTCAGAGTGTGCTTTCTCAGCTTGCAAACTGAAAGCACTAATTTTCATAAGCTCTAATGAAAAATATGTAGAATTAGAAAAATTCATTTTCTCACCATTGCAAAACACTTTTTGGACCAAACTAACTTTTTAACACATTTGAAAGACAGAACTAGGTAGAGGAGTCTTGTTCATTTCGCTTATTCCTGCATTTTGCAAAAACGTTAAAAAGTGAATGTGTCTTAATCTTGCTAAGAAAAGTAGTTCCTACTACCTTTTTTTGATAGTAAGGTAGTACCCTCTAGTGGACAGAAGCAATACTTTTTACTCAGATGTAATCAATCATTCATAGGTGGGCGCATACTCATTGAAGTAGTTGGAAAAAAATGTGAACATGTGGGCATACTCTTCCTTTAGCACCTCAGCAGTGTTGTCAAAGCTTGTCTACTTCTGGCTACTTAAGACAGCCAAAATAAAGTTATTAGATCTCACAATTAACATTTTTTTCTTTATATTTTCAAAATGCCATAGCTGTAGAACACTTAAAATTATAAAGCCTTCTTGTTCTTGTAACGAATATTTAAACAATTTTTATGCCTCTAATTTGGTAGCTTCTCCACTGACTGAAATAAAAACTGTGAGTGTTCAGGGGTACGTCTTTGTATAACTAAATTAAATTCACTTTCCACACATTGATGTGGAAGATTGGGTATTTAATCTGTTCACTTTGTATTAGAAATCACAGCTACTTAATCTGTGGTTGTGATCTCCACAGTTTAGTTCAGCAAGCCATAACTCCACATTCCTCACATGAGGAAAGATTCTAAATATTTTTCCTGTAGTCCCACTTTCAGGCAGCACCTGGACAATCTGCAGGAAAGATTCAGTCAGAGTATTGCTGCTTTCTCAAACCTGCGGCCTCAAAACTAAACTTGTGAGAGGACTTTTGTGCCAACTCTCTACTGAGCAATGAATCTACTCACCAAGAAATTTCCTTCTCTGGTGGACATTTCTTCTCCCATTTATTTTCTATACAGAGGTTTCATTTCTTTTCCAAGGCTTTATTTCTCAGAGGTTGTTTTATTTATTCTTGATGAATTCTCACCTTTCATGTTCAGATGTAAACCAGACTTCATTGCATCTAGTTAACTAGACTGCCCAGACTCTGTTACTCTGCATAAAGCTTCAGCCTTTAAAATAAGTACATTTCAGTCACCCAAGCACAGAGAATTAGTCACTGAAATTAGGTCACTTATTATAAACAACAACAACAAAATGTTTCTGAACAAAGATCATTTAGTCTTTCACTAACAGCTTCACAACATTTGTTTCTTTCTCCTTTAGTCTGATTTTTCTCATGCTCAAGCTGTTGAGGAACTTCTTAATAAAATTAAATCAGGCTCATTTCTTGTAATTCATATGGGCTTGGCTGTACATTTCATGGACACTGAAAAAGGCCCAGGAAGGAGCTTTTGGGGAAGATGGTGTAATATTGAGCTAATGAGAAATATCAGACAACACCATTCACCCCCCCAAATTGAGTCAAAATGCTTTGAAGCTAACAAAGGTCAAAGTGAATATCCAGAATTAATTACATCATGTAATAAGTAACGTGTCATAAGAAGTGACGTCATGGACAGGAAGAAGTAAGTTTTGGAATATCAGGTGATCTTGGCCTGGAGAGAAAGTTTAGGCAATGTAAAAGTGAGGGGACATTTGACAGAACTTGATCAAATGACACATGACCCTAATGTCAGTAAGGATGGTGGTGGCTGCAGAAGAAAATAGTTTGAAAGGAAACTCTACAGAGTGCACAGAGCTGTTCTCTGTGGTCATGGAAGGACAGGCGTGAAGGAGCTCCTGCAGATGGAAGGGTAAGAGATGTCTGTGGTTAGAACCAGAACACGAATCTTGTCTCAGTCTTTGTAACTAAAATCTATTCAATGAATTGTGACTGTCCCGTGTGGTTTCTTGGCACTTGCTTGACTATTCTTATGTCCTTCTAAATGTCTCTTCATATTCCTAATGTGGATTCTCGGCGGTTTTCTATTTTGTGATGATTAAATAGAATACATATGCTTGTTTGATCACAAATGTCCACAGGATTTCTTGCTACATTTTCTGTTGTAGAATTATTTTGGCATTTGTAGCATGTGCTTTAGTCACCGGTATTTTTATTTACAATTTTTAGCTTGTGAAGAACCTCCTCCTAGAAGGGTTAAAGAAGTGCCTACTGAAAGATGGGACAAACCTCCCTATCCACATGGCACTCAAGTAACATACAGATGTCGGCCTGGGTATATAAAACTTGGACGAATTGTGTTTGAGTGTGCTGATGGAGCATGGAAGCAACACCTTCCAGGGGCAGAATGCAGAAGTAAGTATTTATGCAAAATATGTGAAAACACTTGACCTGACAGCTCACATTCCTTGCCAGTGATGTCAATATGAAATTGCCATTGTATCTTTACCTGTAACTTACTTATTGCAGCATCCTTTAAAATATCATCCTAAAAAGTATGCATGCATAAGGAAACATTTTTGGAAGGTCCTTTTCTTCAGATCAAAGGATTATAACTTTTTTTTCTTTACAGAAGAAGATCCTACTCTAGGCCACCCTTATTAACTGGATGTATGTTAAGTTATTAAGTTATTAGGAGCTTGCTTCCACAATTTTAGAAAAAGTCTAATGCAGATGAAATTTACAGTCTAAGTAGAATAAAGCACTAACCTAGCGTCTGAATGCGAGTCAAGAAACAGTATTGTCTTCTTTTCAGTTTATTCGACTAGTTCTATGAAAGATATAATTTCTTGGAAGTGGGAAATTATTTTTCCTTGCCTTCTCTTTTAATCTGTGAAGGAAAAGTCACGATTAGGGTGACAGCTGCTACTTATTATCTCTAGTATACTGTCTTAAGAGTTTGGAAGTATCTCACACCCTCATACAGAATTCATTAGTGAAGAAATTGAAGTTTATTATTGTTAGTCAGTAGATACATCTTTTCTGTAATAAATGAGTTTTAAACACAAATTTTAGACACATGAGCTTTTTTTCTTACATATCTAACATACAGAATTTTTACTGGTAGAGTGTAAATATTTGGTTTGATAATATAAAATTAAGTCCCAGGTGACATTCAGAGATGAATACAAATCATGAGTAAAAATGAATTAATAAAGCTGTTACTATTTTCTCTTAGATTTTTTATTTAGTCACCTTCTCAGATTGTATATATATTTGTATAACTATTCAGTGAACATGGGTCTTTCAAGTTATACAAAAGTTGCTTTTTAGCAACATATTTTAGTAAATACTGCCACCCAGTGAATAGATACTGACACTGGCAAGGTGCAGGTGGAAGGAGAAAGGGGATGCTCTGCCACAGGTGAAGTGATCCTGTTCCCTTTTCAGGATAGGCCACCCTAGATGGTAAAATGGATCATGACATTGTCCATTTTCTCTGGATCACACTGGAGCAGGTGTAGGGCCTACTTAAGCACCTCTTCCTTCGAAAAACCAAGGATGTTGATACTTTCCAAGAAATTAAATTGCCTAGCTCAACAAGGACCAGGAAAGATTTCTTCTGAGGAGGCCTGATAGGTTTTAGCTATGCAGTTTATTTTGCAGTCCATATTATAACATCAAAAGTGGATGAATGAGGTGTATGGTGTGTTTATCTTTGCAATTATTTTGGGAATCGAGGGCAAGTAGTTAGGGCCAGACCACAGGAAAAGTCCTATGGGGAACTTTGAGCAGAAAGGACTGAGGACCAAAAGACTCCTGTGGCCTTAGATCATCCCTCTTTACTCAAAACAATTCCCATCAGATTGAGGAAATTTCATTTCCAATCATGGATGGATTCTGTAGGAGAAGCTTTGGACAAATTTATGCCACAAGTTGTATGAAAAGCTGAAGCTACATCTTGCCATTAAATTTGTCATACAACTTAAGATGAGCTCAGCCTTTTTAAAGGAATAAAACCTGCTAATTTGTTTTTAATTAAAAAAAAAATCAGCAGATCCTTACTGCAATATGTTCTCATTGAGGATAGTGATTAAAAAAAGGGATGTTGATCACGCTGATGCTGAGCATTTTTTAATTTTTGAAAGGCCCATACTCGCTGTAATTACTAGAAAGTGCTATCTTTCACACTTTCATATTCCTGTGCATGGTGTAAGTAATTTTTTTCTTCTTCTTTTTTTTTACCAGATAAGCCCTGTGGACATCCTGGAGATACTGAGTTTGGTTCCTTTGAACTTACCAGTGGAAGTGAATTTGTATTTGGTGCCAGAGTTGAGTACAGATGTAATGAGGGGTAATACTTACTTAATTCAATACATAGGAGTTAACATAAGGTGTTAATGTTAAAAGAAGTGTCAGTTACAGATTTATTGTCTGTAACTTAGCTTACTATTATTTAATGCATGGTTATTGTTTAATTTAAATTTCTGCAATTACAGTAATACTAAAGGTAACTCTTTCTCATGTCTGGTGCTATCGGAGTAACTGAACTCATGCACCTGAAACTGTCATGCATGGTGTCTAAAATATGTAAGGCTGTAGCTAAATTGAAATCATGGTTGCCCAAGTATAAAACAAACAAAACCAGTGATCTGTCTGTAAAGCTACCTCATGACTCCACTAGCCAGCCAGTTCAGATGGAAATGCAGCTTTGCACGCTGGAATCAGTGCTCTCAGTAGGCAGTCATGATGGAATTATGTTAGCAAAGTCATTCCGCCATGCAACAGAGTCTCCTATTCAGAACCACAACTCATCAGTCCTGCTTAAATAATTTTGTGCATTATGAAGTAAAATGTATTGTAAAAAATGTTTGAAGGAAGGCATGTCTGGTAGACTCACTAACTGTTTTCACTGGCTGTTTGGAAGAAATTCTTCTCTCTTCTTCCTCTATTCATCTTCTCCAATGAAAACTGCAACAAGACAAATATGTAATATTGTGCTTAGTTAAGTACGCCTATGACTGGATTCTTTCCTCTGGAAATGCAAATCAGTTATAAGCATGGTACAGTGGTTTAGCCATGCTTTTGCAGTCTTTGTATTGCTGGAATCTAGTCTGAATTCCACAACAAGATTTCCAAAATCAGTATTCTCCTTAATCCCTTAAGTTCAGACAGTTCTTCACTGTCATTTCAGACTAGCTGTACTTCCTCTGACTACATTTCAGACAAAGCAGAAGCCATGGCATTGTGGCCATGTTGCCCTCAAACCTAAGGTAATACTAGCTCATCAAAGCATGAGGTACATATGGTTTGGATTAAGTCCTATTTTGATGCTGTTACATGGCTTTCAGTCATACTAGAGCACAGGCAACAGGAGTTTTACTCTGCTTGCTACTCACTGTGTAAATTGCCCCTTAGTTATTTGTTATGTAACCAAAGCTTGTTATCTCTGTAATGAAGAAACCATCTTACTGATTACTTCCTACTTTCTGATTTTTTTTCGTATTTTTTGCCATATGCAATTGAAAGATACAAAACAGGGAAGATGCAGGCCAAAAAACTACTCGGTTTTGTCACGTTTTGGTTAGTCTGTGCTGGAACATAAGAAACCTACTTCCTTTGCTTCAAAAACAGCAGCACTGCTGTTTCTGTCACACAATGAGACTGTATTTTAGCATTGTTTACTTTTTATTCCGTAAGATACCGGATGCTCAGCCAAAGAAATTACCGTGAGTGTCAGGCAGATGGATGGAGCAATGACATCCCTCACTGTGAAGGTAAATGGAGTTTGACATTTAATTCTTTATCAAACTGTCTTTTTATCTGTCTGATACTATCCAGAACTAGTCTGTGATCTCCCTACTAGTATTAATTGACATTTGTTTAAATTCAAGTTATGCAGCAGTGAAATTCTTACAATGACTGCTTAGCCATTTTAGTCCAAGAAGCACTCAAGCTTTTGTTAAAAAGAATTCACAAAACAGAGTCTTGTCACTCCCAGACTGGCTTAAGGCTCTTCCTCACCTAAAGGCCCTGATAGAGCACATGCCTGCAAAACATGGTTACAGAAGACAGCTGGGATGAGGCATTTTGGATGTATGTGAAAGCATGTATGTTTTTAGCTAGTTCCCTCCTCCACCCTTATGAATATCCTAGCCATTAAGATTTTGTTATAAGTTCTTCTCCCTGTTAGCATACTGTGGAAGAACTTCAGTAAGTAAGAATGAGAGCAAGAGAGACTCAGACCTCAAGACTTAGTAGACTGGATGGCTCAGATGATACGTCCCTGATTCTGGAAACCTTTTCACCAGTTTCAAACCTGTATGACTGTGAAAACAAGCTTCCTTTCTTCCCAAAGATAATTTTTAACTGATCTATTTTAACATATGTGTGCAGTGGTGAAATTTCTCTTTAGGTTAAGCATCTAATGTCACAAAAGGGTCTCTAAAGAATCACAAATGAAAGTAGATATCTTTCTGTTCTCTAGAGTTTGTTTTCTGTGTTTTGACATTTCCTTGGTTTCAGATACTTAACATTTAGCTTACTGGATTTTGAGGGTCCTCAACTTTAAGCATACAGGTCTCTGCACAGTATAGAGCAATGGTTTCCAACATTTTTTTGTCATATGTCACCAAGATACTGCAATTTCAAAGTCCTCATAAGATTTTTCTTTCATGATTGAGGAGTTTTTATTAGACTGAAATATGATTGCCTATGAAAGAAAGTATTTGTATAATGTCCTAATTGTGAGGAACCTAGAAGATAGAATGTGAGCTCATAGAAAAGGCAGATGGCTTATAAGATGGAGAATGTTGTCAGCGAGAAGCGGGGGCTATAGTAGGCAAAACACCAGCCACTTTCATACATGCTCAGTGATATCTATGTGAACGTTTAAGAATGAGCTTTGATAGTCATTTCCCCCTTAATAAGAAATATCTGATGACATATGTTAATTCTTCCTTGTTCTGCAGTTACAAAATTAGGAGATACAAGAGGTCTAAATTAATGGTTGACGTTGTGTTTGTTTACTTCAGTAATATAATTGTTCTGATATCCTTAACTAGGATTTTTAGTTAGTAACTGAACTGTTGTAGTCAGTCTATAACACAACACTTTTCCAGGTATTTGTCTATAGCAAATTCAGTTTGGCATAGCTCTGAAGTAAATTAACCTATTTTGACAAAGTTGAATGGCAATATGTGTCAGTCAAAGCTCATCTAACCATCCATAGAATTCATAGGATCATAGGATATTTTAGATTGGGCGAGACCTCAGGATGTCATCTAGGTCAGTGGGTGCTCTGTCTTTAGCCTTCAAGGGCAGAGAAGAGGATGATGAGAGCCAGTCTACAAGCTTCCTCCTATGTCAGTCTGTCTTTTTGCTTAAGTTTTTGTATTATATCTGTTGCAAATGGTATCTGAATACATAACAAAACTGTATATTTATAAAATGTGCAAGGAAATTACAGTGAGTTTTCTGTATTTTAACTTTTTTGTGTGTCAATCCATTTTACAGAATAGACCTCAAAATGGCTGGGTTTTTTCCTTTCCTTTTGTTTTGTTTTGTTTTATTTTCCAGTGGCAAAGTGTTTACCCGTACAAGCACCAGTAAATGGAAGAATAATTATGACTGGTGCATTTGAGCTAGGCCGAGAATATTCCTTTGGCCAAGTTGTAAATTTTGAATGTAATGCAAAATACAAGCTTGTTGGATCTAAAGAAATAATTTGCTCTTCTAATGGAAAATGGAATAGTGATGTGCCTCAGTGCCAAGGTAAAAAGTACACTATTTATTATCTGTAATTAAGAAGCTTTATTCTCACAGACTTCTAAGGACTGGGTACCATATGGGAAACTACAAACCTTTTACTTTATTCCACAGCAATTAGGCATACTTTGTCTATAAACAATCTCCATTGCATATGTGCAGAATAAGTGGGATGAGTAAGAGAAGTCAGAGAATGTTGGATGCTAATATGGTCTTAATGGACCATATGTTTGTTCTGCATTTTCACTACAAGCTGTATGTTTTGCTAGGCTGCAGTCCATTTCTTTGAATACAGCTTTGGTATGTCATAAGATTCAATCACTTCAGTGTTGATTTAACCAAAGTAATCACAAACAATTTTAAATCTATGTGAACCAAGTTTAAAAAACAAGTATGATTTTAATTCACACATGTTCTTAGGGTATATAAAATACAAAGACATCATGATGGATTTTTCTTTCTTCAGACTAATGTGTTTCAACAAGTTAGAAGGTTAATTCATGTTTAGTTTTTACTCAACCACAAAATCACGGAATAAGTGAGGTTGGAAGGGACCTCTGAAGGTCCCTCAAAGCAGTCAACTAGAGCAAGTTGCTCAACACCATGTCCAGTCAGCTTTTGAACATCTCCAAGGATGGAGACTCCACAGCCTCTCTGGGTAACCTGTTCCAGTGTATGACCACTCTTAAGTAAAAATGTTTTTTCTTATGTTTAAGTGGTATTTCCTGTATTTCAATTTGTGCCCTTTGCTTCTCATCTTGTCACTGGGTGCCAATGCGAGGGGTCTGGCTCCATCATCATTACAATCAGGAATTTATACATACAAGTAAGATCCTCCCTCCCCCCCCCCCAAGCCTTCTTTTCTCTAGACTCTCTTAAGCCTCTTTTTATCTGTCAGTTTTTCCAATTTCTTAATTATCTTCATGTCCCTTTACTGGACCTGCTCCAGTATGTCCCTGTCTTTCCTGTATTGAGGAGCTCAGACCTGGGCGCAGCACTCCATATGTGGTCCCACAAGTGCTGAGCAGAGGGGAAGGATCACCCACCTTGACCTGCTGGCAATGTTCTTCCCGGTAGAGCCCAGGGTGCTGTTTTCTTTGTTAGCTGCAAAGGTGCCTGGCTGGCCCCTGTTCAGCTTGTCCATCAGGACTGCCAAGTTTTTTTCTGCAAAACTACTTTTCAACCAGTCGACCCTGCCCTGCCCGAGGCTTGTACTGGTGGATGGGGTTTTCCTCCCATTTTGCAAATAGAGATTGCAGGGGATTGGATTGTCAGTATGTAAGAACCAATCCCAGGAAGTTTATGGTAACGATCACTGTTAAACATTCAGTCCATCAAGTGTCTTTGATTATTTATATGTTATTTGATCGGGAAGTATGCATTTACAAGAGCACAGTACATATGTTAGGATGTCAGATACATGTATGGTTTGTTCACAATTTCAGCGCTGCATTTTGCTGCTTTGAAACCCCCATTTATTATAATTTGAACAGCATAAAGTGGGATTAAACACGTGCTTGTAACATTTGCAGAATATAATGAATTTTGTTAAACAATGACGGTTCCACTGAGCTACATACAAAGTAAATACAGCAAAGGAATCCAAGAGAACTCTTTGGTGTCCTGCTCTGTGGCCAAGGAAACAAAGCCTTAAGTATTTTCTAGCTTTATGAATGCAGTTTTTGGAAACTGCAAGATCTCGGTGGTTTTACTGGGTTTGGTAAGGAGCTGGGGGTGATGAGGTTCTTTTATAGATTGTTAAGCATTCTAGTGTTTTCCAGATAGTTTAATTCTTTTTTCCTGTTGATGCCGTGATTTAACTAATCGGCTACTGGCTGTGAGAGAGCTTTAGGTTTGCTGGAAATCACACAAAAATGAAATTATCTGAAAAATGGAAAATCCTAAATTTCAGCTAGCCTAGATGCTTATTTTAGAATGTCTCCTGCCTTATATACTGAATCTGAGATTCATTAAAATCCAAAGCAAAGCCCTCATGAGACAGGGCTGACAGACAAAATCTGTCTCATGAACCAATTTGGTATTGATGCTATGATATAGCACACTTACTACCTGGCACCCACAGTCAGGTCATTGAAGAGTTCTCAAATAAGTTTCAGTTTGCAAATGCAAATGTTTTTGTGAAGTCGAATGAAAAAACCTCTAAATTTTATTCCAATAGGCATTTATTCTTAGCAAATAAAAATAAAAAAAATACATGGGTTTTGTCTTTCTTAATTTCAGAGATTATCTGTGATGTACCAGAAATTCTGCATGGATATGTACATTCTCCAAAGGCATCTTACAAGGAATCTGAACAGCTACAGTTTGCCTGTAATGAAGGATACAGATACGGTGAAAGAGCAGATGTACAATGTACTGAATCAGGATGGAATCCAACCCCCTATTGTACTGGTTAGCCTTGCCTAAAGTTATTTTGCACATTTTTTTGTGTTTAGAAGTTATTTCAGGGATTAGTAATGACAAACATTAGTTTATTCATAACAAAAGAAATCCATCCATATCTGACCAATATGCCATGAAGGTCTGGAAGGATGAAGTGTTAAAGGGACCAAACAACTGGATAAGAGTTTTCCATGGAGAGCAGTAGCAAAAACAGTTAATTCAGTCTTTTGTTACTTGATTATTAAATTATAATGAGATATATATTATATAATAATATAAATTAAATTATTAAATAGGTCCATGAAGCAACAGTTTCTCCAGTATACTATATAAATGAGGTTGATGCTAAAATACTTCATGCAGCATTAGTAGCTGTTTTTATTCTATTTTTATATGATTCTGAATTAGTGGGGGGAACATAGGAAAAAGATTTCTTGGGTTAGAAAAAAATCCTGATTTGGACAAATAGGAAGGATAAAGCTGAATCTCTTTACCTTCTACAAAATATGATGAAAATTTTTTATCTAAGGAATGGAAAAATCAGACACTAAAGAGAATATTTAAGCAAGCAGGAAAAAAAGGAATTAATACCAAAGAAATTGAACTACAGAAGAAATCTGAAATTTTTAACAGCATGGGAAAATCAATATTTGAAACCACCTTCTTAGAGAAGTGGTAAGGTTTTTGAAGTCCTATTGTCTTCACATCAAGTCTCAATACCTTTTAAACTGTTTAACATGAACATAACTGGTATAAGTCAGTGGCTGTGCTGTATGTTGGAAAACTGGGTAAAGAAATATGTTTGATACCATATGAATTGCAGCAGTATGAATAAAATTAGGCGAAGCTAATAGGCTTAACTCGATGACCTACGTATGAATCACAAGCAGTTCTTTGAGGGGGAGATATAAGTTACCACATCTTCAGGTCTTCCGTGTTCAGTAGTTGAGATGCTGTGTCATCGTAGCCAAGATTCTGCTACTGGTAATTGTAGGACTAACCACTCAGTAAAATACCACTCAGCATCTCACCCTGTATGAACATTTGAGACAATAGAAGTTTGCTAGACCTATTGAACTGACCTCTGCATCTTGTCTGAGTGTCCTGATGAGTCTTACTGTAGTTTGAGCAGACTGAGCACCTGGTTGCTAGTCATTACATCCATTCTTTAAATTTCTAGACTACTAGCTCTGATCAACCAGTTCCAACCAAAGAGGAACAATTAAAAAACGATCCCTATTTCACTAATGAAACTTCAGTAAGAAATTGCTAGTGTACTGTGCAACCTTTCAGAAATTACTGGAGATTACAGAAGTAACTTTCAAGTTAAAATCCTGACTTAAGTTTGTAAGCTGCCTTTCAAGAGTTCTTCTGAAATAGTAAGATAGTGTTGTAGGAAGAACAATCTGAAGTTGACATGGCCATTTCCAAAGGAGTTTGAGAAAATGTGAAGTGGTCCAATTTCAGAAAGAGAAGTAGTCCATTGATGGCCATAAGTGTGTAAACTGAAAATTATAATGGAATTCTAGTGCTGGATTATACATAAAGCTGAAAACAGTAGCACTTTCTACACATCCATTATGTCAAAAATTGTGTACAACATAGATTTGAAGTTCACTAACCCTAAGAACTGTGGACATGAAGTGATGTATAAACAGAGACCAAAATAATATGGTGTGCATGAATCCTGCCACTTCCATGACCCTTAGTCTAGGATGAAGACAGCAATTTGTTTAATGTCATCAGAACTGTAATTGCACAACCACATTATCCATGGTGTTGAAACTTCCCATCAGAAATTGTCTGAGAATCTCTACAAATTAATATATTTACAGTGCTGAAACTCCCTCTTGCTTTTTAACTCCTAAATGCCATCTGAGCAGTCAAGATGACAAATCCATAATTTCTGAGGCTAGTCCTGTTTGACATCAGCCCTCTGGGTCATGGATTTTGCTTTAGTTTCATTCAACTACAGCACTTAAACATTATATTGAAATCTCCAAATCCCACAAACAGAAATATGCATGCTACGTCCCAGTTGAAATAATTTGATGCAAATTTTGGGGAAATGATTAGTGCCTTGACTTGTCTTCAAGGAATTGCCAGACACTTGAAACTGGAAAAAAATTTTGGCAACAGGGCAACATTGTAGGATGCTGTGTACCACCCACCTTCCTGGGACCTCTTCCAGAAAGACTCCTTTAGAAATAAAGAGTAGTCAGTCTTAGTGCCCACTCTGCTCTTGACCTTTCTGCTTCAAGATTAGTAATGATGCTAATGCATTGCCTATGGTTTAGCAACATACTGCTTTTGAGAAGTGCCAAACAAAACATTCTTCCAGACACTGATGTACTGGGCTCTGATACTTGGAGCATATTCAGAGAGTGGTTCCAGATCCTGCTTGACTTATCACTGAACCTAGGTGATTCAGCAGTACATGCATACAGCTGATTCGCCCACCTTCACCCCACAGCAGGACCAACCAGTAGTTACCTTATAGTCATCCCCTCCCAGCCCTGAGTGTGTTGGTGATATTTTCCGAATTGGAAGTAGAATACAAAAAAAAAAACCCCAAAAGACAGGCTCCTGTTTATAAATAATATGTTTGCCTGGCTTCTCTAAGCATAAAGATATCATGAGCTTTTTAGACTAGCATTCTCGTCCTTTCTCAGTTGTTGAAATGCTTCCAAGTGTCAGTGCAAGACCCTAATCTTAATCACACAGCCTTCGAATGATTGGTTCCTAGTTAAGTATAGTTATTTCTCCATTTAGGACCTGCCAGTGAACCTGCCTGTCCTTTGGGACAGTGTCCATAAACCAACCCAGGAGAGCTGTGAGTGAGCCCAGCATAGATCATTTTGAGCTCCAGCTGTGGAATGACCTACTGGAAAAGATTAGTCAAATTCAGTTTGATCACCTCTAGTTCTTGCTCCAACCATTCTCTTTGTTTTAATCTTCTAATTTAGCATGACATCAGTAATAGCTGTCGCTCTCCTTTTACAGAACTGTACATTTCTAAGAGTGGGAGAGAAATGTAACCTTTTCTTTGCCCTAAGAAACATCTTTTTTTAACTATTTTATGCAGTTATGGTCAATATACAATGAAAATAAGAACTTATGCAACAAATATAAACATATTCTTCAAATTAGCATCCAGTTTTTCTCTTTTTATTTAGAAATTGTATGCTCTCCTCCAAGAATTCCAAATGGGAACTTTAGACCTCAAGAAGACAACTACATCGTAGGTGATATAATCACAATACAGTGTAATCCTGGATATCATTTTAAAACATTGACTGGCAAAAGCACAGCTGAATGCACCAAGAATGGCTGGGTGCCTGATCCGGGTTGTGTCCGTAAGTAGCTCTCATGAATGAAGACACAACATGTAGAGTTGTTGGAAATATCTCAGTGAAAAAGAGGTGAAGAGAAAAACTTCAGAAGCATGAGAAATGAGAGTTGCTTATTCATCGTGCTTCTTTGTAATGTAAAGCTTAATTTGATGGTTTGGAAAAGTCAGCTATAAAAACAATGGTATAATCTACATTTACATTATGTTTATAAACACAGGTATTATTTATTTCTGTATTTGTGAAAGTATGTGTTAAAATGTACTGTAGTCAGCTCCCTGTCAGGAATTTTTGTGGTCCACCTGAAGAGTAGCATGCCAGACAAGGTAAGAGGACAGAGTGAGTGTTAAAGTATCCAAACCAAAACAAAACATAGGTAATGGTTAGAAGGTATCTTTCATTATGGTTATCACAGCTTTAGATTTTTACTTGCAGTTGTATGTTGGTATATTATAAACAACCACGGTTTTATTCTACCTATTATAATGTTTGTCAAATAACAAAACAAGATATTCGTGATTGTTGATGAGTTCTTTCTTAGCTTAAACTTCCCATAACTACAGTAATAGTTTTGCCCAGTACGCACAGTATTAACAAACAAATAAATAAATTAGCAATTTATTTCATCATCTAGCACTCTTTGATTTTTAGTCACTGAAAGTAAAAGAAAAACTTAGAAAACAGAATGTGAGAGAAACCCTGATGAAATCAGTCTTGTAAATGAACCTTTGGATAAGACGATTTCGACTATTGCCAAAAAGTGCAGTTAGTATCTGTATTAATCTTTCCTTTATATGTGTGTGTGTTCTAAAATTCAGTATCATTCGGCGACCACTTCATTCATTATTGAATGGTCTGTCCAGTGTGTGATCTCCCTTGCCCCAGCATGTAGACTGTGGGTCAAAGCACTTCAGCAGGAACCTACCTGCTATGGCCAAGTAGGACACCCTGGGTAAACTTGAATGAAAGCTTCTGGGAATCTCCTCCTTCTATCCTTGACTTGTCCCTGAAAAGGGTCAGTTCTTTTGAGGAACTGAGAGAACAAAAGAAAAACACTACAGTTTTAAAATAAAAATGAGAAGAACCAGGAAGAGCCTTTGGTACAGGATCCCCAAAGTTACCAATGAAAGTGGTGACAGGAGTCGTCTCAATTTTGAGTCCACAGTTCAGTGTCTATATCTGAGCTAGCTGTCTGGGCTCCCATCATGGTCAGTATAGTAAATGTCGTCGAGACGCTCTACAAAGACAGTGTCATCTTACCACAGAATAAATACTTACTATTTGGTCTCATGAATCAGCCTTTGGAGTCCAGTGAGAATATTGACGGGATTTCTGTGGTTGCAACGGGATCAGAGGGAAGCAACCTAGGTATAAGCACTGACAAAGACAGCAGAAGCAGAGTGTGATTGCTCCCGCACTCCTTAGGATCTGCCAAGGTGTGCCGTCTAGATTCTGACAGTTTCAGAAAACACTCAGATGGTGAAGCTGAATCTGAATTAATTGTGTCCTGAGCTTTTTGTCACGCATGTGTTGATATTGTTGCTCTTAAATTCTATTTCAAGAGAAGCCGTGTGACTACCCAGCCATAGAAAATGGCAAGTTAAGTGAAAGACTGGAGTACCACAAAAACTATTACTTTCCGATGAGTTTTGGGCAGCATGCTGATTACCACTGCATTCATGGTTATACAACCCCGAGTGGAGAATACTGGGTTCGAATGGTCTGTTCTGAAAGGGGCTGGTATCCAGAGCCAAAATGCCTCAGTAAGTACATTTCCATTATACACTCAATTCTGTTGGAATTATCAAAGGTCTGTGCAGCAGAAATTGTGCTGATGGAGCACAAGATGGAACAAAGAGCAGTTAGTTAAAGTAGAACTGCTTTAGTTGACCCCTGGAACTGCACCCAGATTTCATCCTATCTGCAGAGCTCAAACTGTCAGCTGGTAAAGTGACACTCTGAAATGAGGAAGGCTGAAATGATACTTTTGGATTTTGGAGATTCTTTACTGCTGAAATCCTTCGTGAGACTGAGAAATGCATAGGAAATGTTTCTCTTCTCTGGCTTCTGGGTCACGTGCCTGCATCTGCTTTCATCTGCATACACAGCTGC